TTCCTGGCCGATGCATGCCGGGGGTCAGGCTTGAGAGTGGAGGGCAAGTTTAGGGTTTAGGGTTTGGGGCTTAAGGTTTAGGGTTTAGGGGTTAGGGTGTAAGGGTTTAGGGTGCACAGCATAGAGTTTAACCTTAGGCTCAAAAGAGCCCAAAGCCTTGTGTAGGAGGGTCTTTGGGTCCCGAAACCGTCCTTAGAGGGGTGTAAGGCATCAGGGTGTAGGGGGCCGGAGTTCTCAAGTTCCGGAAACTGGGGTTCTCCTGAGCCCTACTTCTTTTCGCGACAGCCCTCATCCCTTCGAACCACCCCAAAACCCGAAAACAAAAAAACATTTTACTTCGAACATCCCCACCCTCTCTTGGTAGAGATACTCTGGGGTTGGGCACTCCAACAACACTCTGGGGCTGGGCACTCTGGCGACAATCTGGGGTTGGGCACTCGAGGGAGACTGTGGGGTTGGGCACTCCAGGGAGACTAGGCAAATGAGACTCTGGACTCGGGGGTTGGGAGACTCTGGGGTTGGGCGCCCTAGGGAGACTCCATGGACACCCTAGAGTTGGGCACTCCAGGGACACTTTGGGGTTGGGCACTCCAGGGATGAGTGAGGAGTAGACCGGGCGAGGAGAAGAGTTCCGGGCGAGGACAAGAGTTCAAAATCTAACAACCCCACACCGAGGGTGGGGAACAAACACATTAAGAACAACACAAAAAAACATCCGAAAACCTCGCCGATGAGAAATCGGCTTGAGGTCAGGGCTTAGGGTTTAGGGTTTAGGGTTTAGGGTTTAGGGTTTAGGATTTAGGGTTTGGGGTTTGGGGTTTGGGGTTTAGGGTGCGAGGGTGTGGGATTGGGGGTGTAAGGTGTGGGGTTGAGGGTTTAGGGTCGAGGGCTTAGGGTTTGGGGTTGAGGGGTTTAGGGTTTTGTTGGGCCTTGGTTTCTAGGAGATACTAAGTAGACTTACTACGTCTGAAGAGCTTCAAAGTATAGGATTTGTGGGTATGAAGCTACAGACACATAGGCCTGCGGCCCATACGGTAGGGCTTAGCGTTTTGGGCTTTCTGGGTCTTGCGGAGGCTTGTAGGAGGTTGGATCTGACAGTGAGTCTTGGTACTCGTCTAATGGCCACAAAGCCCCAAAACCCTAAAACCCTAAAGCCCAAAACCCTAAACCCAGAACCCTAAACCCTGAACCCTAAACCCTAAACCCTAAACCCCAAACCCTGAACCCTAGCGTAGTGTTGTGCTTGTCACTTCGAGGATTCCTTCGGGAATGTGGGCTCGGACCCAGAACACTGGAGACTCTGGACTCGAACCCAGAAGTCTGGAGTCCAAAGCCCGCCTGAATCCCACCTCAATGCCACCTTACATCTGACCTTGAACCTTTCAGCTCAGCCTCTAAACCTCCCACAATCCATAACTCAAAGCCCTCATACCTTGACCCTAAGCCCTAAGCCCTAAGCCCTAAGCCCTAAGCCCTAAACCCTAAACCCTAAACCCTAAACCCTAAACCTTTGGCCTCCTCTGCGTAGTTCTGCTGCTGACGGCGGGCTGCTAGTTCCACGTCCACAGACTGCTCGAGGGCCTCCACGGCCTCTTTGGCTGAGGGCTTGGGGGTTTAGGGTTTAGGGTTTGGGGTTTAGGATTTGGGGTTTGGGGTTTAGGGCTTGGGTTTTAGGGTTTAGGGTTTAGGGTTTGGGGTGTAGGGTTTGGGGCTTAGGGTTTAGGGTTTTGGGTTTGGGGATGTAGGGCGCGGGGTGTGCCTGTAGTTCACTAAAGATACACTCTAAATTTTAGAGGACCTCAACACGATGTCCAAACCCTACATCCTCACCCGCAGACCCTGAACCAACCCTAAACCCCAAACCCTATGCGCTCGCATAGGTATATAAACCCTAAACCGAAACCCTAAACCCCAAGCCCTCTACCCTCTGGAGCACCAAGTTCCTAAAGTCCTACGCGCCTGTTTCTGCCATCTACACATAGCAAATTGCTTTTGGTTTTTCATGTTTCATTCTTTGTGCCTTTGTACTTGCTGGCAGATGTGCCATATTTCTGACTTAGAACCTTAAACACCAAAATATGTGTATGTATACATATATATATATATGTGTTTGATCTTCCCCTGGTTTTTGCATTAAGATATTCCTAAGGGCGGTATATGCTTGATCTTTCCTTGGGTCTTATATGAAATTTATTCTTGGGGGGGGGGGGGGAAAGAGCATGGGGTTTACTTGGCTTTGGAGTAGACCCTGGAAAAAAAGTATATACTTTTTGGGTAATAAGTAGCAATAATAGGAACCCAGAACCAAAAAAAGTATTAAAGTACAGTACTCCAAAGCCCAGTTTAGGGACATATCTGATCCTCGGCTTCTGACGAGGGAAGGGCGGCTTGGGATGACGGGAGCTCTTTCAGCTTAGGGCTTTTGGGGGGCCTTTGAGGCTTTTAGGGGTTTTTTGTAAGGTTTTTTTTGGGGCATGTAGGGCTTTATGCTTTAAATTTTTTTTCGGTTTTGGGGTTTCATGATTTTTAGGGGTTTTATGATTTTTAGGGGTTTTGGGGCTGTAGTGGCAAGTTTAGGGTGCACTGCGCGGGGGCGAGGGAGGGGGGAGGGGGGCTATTCGGATGCGCAGACTTAGGGTTTTTCAACAGGTGTGTGTTAAGAACACTCAAAGCCACACATGTAGTAGGTTGCCTGAGATTACCTACAGTAGCCTCTAAACACTTGTCCAAGTGAGCCGGGGGGGGGGGGGTGCCTTACGTAGCGACCAAAGCCCGATTTAGAGAGCCCAAGACACCTCAGTCAATTACATACAGCTCATATACATACATATTTCTGCTTCTTCCCCTTGTAGATATACAAAAGACTTCTACTTAGTTCCAAGTGAAGTTTGTCCATAACTCAGACTTTGTGGGGCTGCCTGGGTAGGTCCCGGAGAAATGAAAGTTGCAGGGGGACCGAAACCCTGAAGGGATCAATAAAGTGCCGGTGTTCTAGGGTTGGCGGTTGCTAGGGGTTTTAGGGTTCGTAGGGTTTAAGGCTTGAATTAGGGCTTACAGGTTTAGGGTTCGTAGGCGTAGGGATTATAGGGAACAGGGTTTACAGAGGGTTTCGGGTATAGTGTGCAGAAATGAAGCCGAACGCGCCTGCTCCATCGACTGCTGGATGAAGGCTGCACGGGTCTGCGTGGGGATGGAATGAGATGTAGGATGTAGGTCTGAGGGCTTGGCAAATGTAGGGTTTAGGGTTTAGGTTCTAAGGTTTAGAGTTTAGGGTTCAGGGTATGCCCGGCTGCTGTATGCTGTACAACGTTGTGGCGTTGCTTCGCAGTGTCCTGGGTGTTGGGTTTGCGGGTGAGCATGGAGCAGAGCACGAAGCAGACAAGGTCCCTTTTTGCCCCCCCCCCCCCCCCCCCCCCTATCTCCGATGGCCGAAGTCTTTGTACAAGGCCCTTCCGTCATGACTGGGCTTCTTGCCGGTCCATTCTGAATTAACTGGCACCTCCTCCCTTTGGCTCACAGCCGCTGTCCCTGCAGCTTCTTGCCGAAGCACAGCGGATATCCCCCAAGTGCGCGGGAGCTCAGCATTTTTACCTATCTGCGGCCACCTTAGGTGTGATGGCTACCATCTCTGTGGGCTCGTTGGGGTGGGCCCAAAATCCGCTGCATCGTTGATGCAACCGTAAACCCTAACACCCTAAAACCCTAAAAACCCTAAAACCCTAAAAAACCCTAAACCCTAACCCCATAGTCATAAACCCCAAACCCCGAACCCCAAACCCCAAACTCTAAACCCTAAACCCTAAACCCTTAACCCTAACCCCATAATCATCAACCCCCCAACCCCGAACCTCGTGGCCGATTTTCCCACTCGGAGGCTGCGAAAGTCCGTCAGAGGAGCACTGCCCCGAGGGCCCAATACGTCTGAACAAGGGTTTAGGGTATAGGGTTTAGGGTTTAGGGTGTTTAGGATTTAGGGAGTAGGGTGTACAGGATCCATGTGCTTATGTTTGGTAAATACTTGGGCCTTATAAAGGGTTTCTATATACTAGCTTTCGGGGCCAAGTTTTTTCTATGTAGGTACCTGGATCTTGAGGAATTTGCTGCAAGTCTCATAAACACATCACCCAGATAGCACATTGCACAATATCCTTGGGGCATTGGGCCATAAACCCTCAACCCTATGAAACCTATGAACCCTATGAACCCTATGAACCCTATGAACCCTATGAACCCTATCAATCCTACAAACCCCATAAACCCTATGAACCCCATAAACCCTATGAACCCTGTAAACCCGATAAGCCCTAGAAACCCTAGAAACCCTCTAAACCCTAGAAACCCTGGAAACACGATAAACCCTCATAAACCTCCTAAACCCTCAACCCTAAACCTTTTTCCCTCGACACAAGGGGCATTGAGCTCCCTTGGGAGGAGCGTTTTGACTGCTGGCGGTTCATGGGAGCTTTCCGCAGCCGTCGTGGGCGGAAGCGTTGGTCCCCTTGCGGTCCTCACGGACAAGGGGGTGGTTTAGGTTGGTTTACGGGTTTAGGGCTTAGGGTCTAGGGTGTAGGATGTAGAATTTAAGATTTAAAACCAACCTCTTTTGTTTTTCCGGAGGGGGGGGGGATTGAAGTATTTCTGGCAGCCCTGGGCCCCCACCCACCTCTCGCCTCCCCCCCCCTTGGCCACACACCTGCGCCTGAAAAGGCACACCGCAGTGCCAAATCCCCAAATCTGCGAAGCCACGGGATCCAGGTACGCAGAAAGTATAGATACTTCTACTCCATCCGGGTGCAGAAGTACAAGTGCCCAGATCTCAACAGCATGGCAACACAGAACTTCTGCCCCGTCGGAACCCTGAACCTCGGCGTGCAATGCACCCCTTTTCCGCTCTTTTTTTTCTTCTCGGCCCGCTCTACCACCCTAAACCCTAAACCCTAAACCCTAAACCCTAAACCCTAAACCCTAAACCCTAAACCCTAAACCCTAAACCCTAAACCCTACCACAAGATCAGGTGATGCCAAATGGGAGGTGTCCACCCAATCTTCTCCAGCCATCCCAACGGACTCACGGTGGCCTCGCGCGGGCCTGCAGACGTCGGAAACTCGGCCCCCAGGGTGTCCAGGGCACCTTAGGGAGTTGGTTTAGGGTTTAGGGTTTAGGGTTTAGGGTTTAGGGTTTAGGGTTTAGGGTTTAGGCTCTGGGGTGTCTAAAGATCCATCTGCAGGTATAGTTATCACTTGGGCCTTAAAGGGGTTCCTACATGGTAGCTTTAGGGCCCGGATCCTTACTGGTCCTTGTTGGGATTATATTGAAAATTATCATTGTTAATCTTTATTGGGCTTTTTATGATAACAAATATGTGAAACTTAAAGCCAACAAGGACTCAGCTTAGGGTATGAAAGCAACATTGAGCTGCATACGTCGTCTATGGAGTCCACAAGTGAGTCGACGGCTTGCAGGGGTTGACCAAGGTTCGTACAGGTTGGGGGGGGGGGCTTAACTCGTCAGTGCGGAACTCTTCATGAAACACTGCAAGGCGGTGCCTCAAGCGTGCGCCTGCGCTCATTTTGCGCACAATCAGTGGTGCCCAGGCTTTAGCCCCCTCCACCCTGGTCATTCGTGAGCTTAATTCCCTGACCCTCCAAGGCTCAAAATAGCCCGAAAGCCTTAACAATGGAAGACGGCCTTCCGGCCCCCAAAACCGGAAAAAAAGAGTCGAGACTTAGGGTGACAGTAGATAGGCCCCTACTCACAAGCCCTGCCCAGGCGCGCAAGAGCTCCTTTGTGCTGCTTTCGAGCTCGACCGCTGCATGCTCCAGAACCACGGCGTCACCAGCAGTCGTCCTCCCAATAAAGGCATGGAGCTTGCAGCCGCCGAGTTGCCGCAGTCTAACCAGGGTGCTGTTCAACACCTCCGGTCAAGGATCCATGTACAGGTAGACCCATATTTGGGGTTTAAGGTTTAAGGTTTAGGGTTTAGGGTTTGGGGTTTAGGGACACACTATGCCCAACCCTACCATACAACAAGCTACTTGTCCTGCTACAAGGCCAAGACGCGCTTTCCAAGATTGGCCATTCCTCGCCCAGGACAATGGAGATGCGCCAGTCTTTGAGAAGGTTGGCTGCACGGTCGCGCATGTTGAGCCAACCCAGATCCAGCAAGCAAAGGTGGTAGGCGCTGTCCGACCTTGTGCTGTGTTTAGGGTTTAGGTTTAGGGTTTAGGGTTTAGGGTTTAGGGTTTAGGGTTTAGGGTTTAGGGTTTAGGGTTTAGGGTTTAGGGTTTAGGGTTTAGGGTTTAGGGTTGAAGGCCCTTCAAAGCTGATCCCGTCTGCGTGGTCCATGATGGTCTCCTGACTTTCACCTGCTTCTTTCAAACTTTCTTCCCAACTACTAGACCGGGGCATGGAACCCATAGCTACTCATTTGTAGGGTTTGGGGATTGCAGGTTAGATGCATCTGAGTCCCAAGCCCTGAATACCGCTTCCCCCACAAGTCTTAACCCTAAACCCTAAACCCTAACCCTAAACCCTAAACCCTAAACCCAAAAACCCGAGTCAAGGCGCGGTCCCTCCAGTGGCTTCACCAGGCCGGGTGGCGGCTCCATTTGCAGGTCCCATCGCCAGAGGCGCAGCTGGGCTGCATTGCGCTGCGCGTTCTGCCCCACTATCTGCAGCACCTGACATACTGGGCTTCCGTCTTGGGAGACCCCTGAGTCCCCAAAAAATTGCGAAGGTCTTGGGAGACTCCTGAACCGCCCCAAAACCACCCAAAGCCCTCCCAAACCCTAAGCCGTAAGCCCTAAGCAATAAACCCAACAAACCCTATAAACCCTAATCCCTAAACCATAAACCCTAAACCCTAAACCCAAAGCACCTCTGAGGAGACCTCGGTGGCGGTGACGTTGTGCCCCGCCCGGGCAGCGGCTATTGAGCTTAGGCCCAAGCCGCAACTCACATCGAAGATCCTCAGGACACCTTGAAGGTCTAGGGTTTAGGGTTTAGGGTTTAGGGTTTAAGACTTTCTGTTTGGGGTGTAGGGTCGCATCGAAGATTCTCAGGACACCTGAAGGGGCGAATAGGGTTTACAGGGTTTAGGGTTTGGGGTTTGGGGTTTGGGGTTTAGGTTTGGGGTTCAGGGTTACATCGTAGATCCTCAGGACACCTTGAAGGTTTAAGGTTTAGGGGTGTAAGGTTTGGGGTTTAGGCTTTGTACGTAGCGTTTAGGGCCATTTCCCCCAAAAAAGGGAGCTATGCCGATATTCCCAAACACAAGGGAACACAGCCTTGAGTTCAGCTATTTACTAAGGGTAAGGAGGCGTCGCAAAAGGCTGTCTTGATCTTGGACTTGAACTGTTTGTTTTTGTTTTTTTGAAGGGGGGGGGGGGGGGGGGGGGGGGGGGGGGGCGGGTGACTCAGGTTCGGGTCGGGACCAGGGAATGTTGTTGAAAGGCGTCCGCGCCCAAGCGCATATTAAAGAAACATATCATACCACATAATATAGTACATCATGTAATATAATGTAATACTATACTCACTGATGTTATGTATTCTACATATATATATATATATGTTGATTTATTCATGTGTTGATTTACTTTCACATCTTTCTGTCTCTCTCTCTCTCTCTCTTTCCCCCCTCGCTCCCCCGCTCTCCCTCCCTCTGAGAGGGCTTTGGGTCTCTCTTTTCGGGTCTCTCTTTTCTTCTGCTTCATCTTCGTCTTCTTCTACCGTGTCTATCTCTCGACATACATATTTCTATATACATATACCAGTGCATTCATGCACATGACCTGTCGAGAAATCAAGACTTCGGATTTAATGCTCTACAGACTTCTCTGTTAAGAGCTCGTCATTGCTTGTCCGGGGCTTGGGTTAGGAGTTTGCAGTGCCGGACCTTGAACAAACCCAGCTGGCTAGTGGTCGCCTCTCAGGGTTGTCAGGCATAATAGGGCTTGGGGGGTCGGACGCCTCAAGCCGTAACCCTCCCAAATCGTGATCTCTCGCCCCCAGAGCCCTCTGAACCCTACAACGCCCAAACCCTAAACTAACCTCAAAACCCCAAAACCTAAACCCTAAACCCTAAACCCTAAACCTCTATGACCCTCTCCCTCTGAGGGCCTTCCTGCGCCAGTGGCCGCAAGAGCCGGGCGCCGGCCTCCCAGCCGAATTTCTGGCAGTCTTGCACAGCGCCTGGGCCGACGCAGGGCTCCAGGGTGTTTAGGGTTTAGGGTTTAGGGTTTAGGGTTTAGGGTTTAGGGTTTAGGGTTTAGGGTTTAGGGTTTAGGGTTTAGGGCTTGGGGTTTAGGGTTTAGGGTTTAGGCTCATAGGGTTTCCAGGATTTTTTTCGGGCTGATCAGTTAGTTTTAGGGTCCTTGGGGTTTTGAGGCTTAAGCAGGGGCTTAGGTTTGTGTCTCGGCTTTAGGTTTTCAGGGATCTCGAGCTGTTAAGGCTTACAGAGGTTTTAGAGTGCTTTGGCGGTTTAAGGTGTTTCGGGATTTCGGGCTTTTAGGGCTTATAGGGTTGACAAGGTGTTGACGTGTTAGGCCTTTAGGCTTCTGGGGCGTTTTGGGCTTCGTCATGCTTTAGGGCTTATAGTTGCTTTATTGTTGTTTAAAGTTTGTTATTTCTTCTTTTTGTTGGGGGGGCAGGAGGGGGGGGGGGGTTCGGGCTGAAGAGTTCATGGGTTTGTATAGGGTTTAGGTGAAGGGGTTTAGAGGATTAGGGAGGGCTGTAGGGCTTTTAGGGCTTAGGGACTTTGGGGCTTCGGGACGTGATGGCTTGTATAAAGTCTTGGGATCTAAGGCTTTAGGGGTTTTGGGGCATGGGTTTTGGGTGCAGAGTTGAGGGTTCAAGGGCTTCAGAGTTTTGGGGATCTGGGGTAAGAGGGTTCTAGGTCTTTAGGGTGTTAAGGTTTTGGGGTTTAGGCTGTAGGGTTCCAGGGCTTGGGGTTTTGGAGCGTTCGGCCTCGTAGGGTTCTAGGCCACTCGGGTTTAAGGCTTGTTGGGTTGTAGGGTTCAGGTATCTTTATTACCTTGGTGCTTCCGGCGTTCGGGTTCTGAGGTTTTTGGAGGGCGTTTGGGCTTTGGAATTCCACCATTTAGGGCTTTGGGGGGTTGCAAGGCCGCAAGATTCAGGGCTTAGGGTTTAGTGAAGGCCCCATGGATGGGGGTAACGGTCTGCGGGGGGAAGGCGGACCCTTCTGCGAACTTAGGTTTCAGAAAAAGCCCTTACACGAACTTAGCCGAAGGCTTTCGGGGTTCTGCGGGGTTCTGTGTGGGGTTGGGAGACTGGATATGTTGGTGGGTGGTGGATGAAAGTAACCGCACGCACTTTTTTCAAAGTCAAAGTGAAACTTGTCAAGGGAATGACACTCGATTCCATCTGATGTGGTTGCAACCTGCAAGCTGCAAAAGAGTGACGCTGGCTCCCGAGAATGCTGCTTGAAATCAATAACAGACATGCTGATCTTGACACTTGGAATCACTGCAGCGCTCTGCTGTGACACGTGCTTTTGTCTGTCATTGCTCTGTGCATCTGAAAAGTCACTACAAATGACCAGCCAAAACAAACTAAAACTTTAATTATGTGCCTTTTCTGTGACACTGCCACTGCATGTCAAGCAGTTGGCTGCCAAATTCAGCTCAAATCCAGGAGGAGCACCTGGCAGAAATGTCGACAATGTGAACTAATTAGTGAATTTGTTGAGTACACCGGTTGTCCAAGGCAACAGCTGAAGTTATCAAAATTGCAGGGAACTCTTAACAATAAATACTTGTTGGGGTTGCTGTCCTACAGCAGACTGCCACAGTACGACTGCTGTCACTCAGTCAGGAACTCTTGTTTTCAACGCGTGTGCGGATTGATGGAGCTGACACTGAACTGAGTCGAAAAGCAATGCTGTGACGTCTGGCCTGGCCGTCTAGCGGCTGCACTACAAAACTCCCAAGCAGCAAACTCAACAGGCTACATTTCGTACAACAACAACAACAACAATGTTGCGAAATGCGCATGCTTGCTGCTTGGACTTTGGGCCACCTGACGCTGAGGATTGAGTGTGCTGCCTGCCAGCCAGTGACGGTGACACAATGATACTGCAGCAACGGTTGCTCTTGTATCTGACAATTCATCAAAATATCACCTTGTCAGGGCAGGCAGCATCTGGCAATTCACTGACACATGACTTGACAACAGCTGACGATTGACGCATGGATCTGACACTACTGGCTCTGTCACACTGTTGGTGACCCAGTGCCCTCGGGCGGTGAGGTGGGACGGCGCTTCCTTGGCGTGGGTGTCCTGAACTGGTCAGCGCTGTCCTTGGAGCTTCCGGCACTCTGACCCTTCTCGTGCTTGATCGCCTTGGCGGGTGACTTCGTCGATGGGGTCTTTTGACCAAGACTCTCTGGATCCTGCTCCTCTGTCTCCATGCGAAGTCCCTGAACTTCAAGACTATGATAGGGCGGCTCTGGCACTTCCACGTTCACATTGGCCTCATGCTCTATGATGTTCATGACGTTGACGCTTGTTAGGCCACAGACCAAGGCGGTGAAATAGTCCTGGGGATCCTTGACGCTGGAGCCGTGCGGGATCTCAGGTGGCACTTGCAGGTAAATGTTGGTCTGCATGTACCTCAGCTTCATGGGAGCTTCCTTGGTGTCACCTCTCACGAGCGTCCAGTACGCCGAGGCAA